CCTCACCTTGATGCCCTCGAGGCGAGTGAGGGGGCCCAAAGTTGATTTGGGCCGGGGGCTTTGGGCGCGGCGTTGGGGTCCGGGATCCGTGCTCTCATCGCCGTTGCTGTAGTGAACGAAGAGCAGTAGAGCCAGCACGTTGCCTAGGTACAGGTGCACGAACACCATCAGCACCAAGAAGTAGGCGCGTGAGCATATGCCGCGGGGCTTGCACAGCGGCCGCACCGGTGCATCTTGGTCATCGCCTGGCCGGGTTGTTGCCCCAGCCAAGCTGTGCTCCGGCGGCACCCAATGCGGATTTGCAGCTTCATCCGCTACTGCGGCCTCCGGACACAGGTCTGTAGCTGCAGCCGCCGCCGCCATGGCGCCTAGGTCTCGTGCGCGCGCGCGCGCGCCCAGGGGAGGGGCCACAGGGTGCCTGCGCTGCGCAGTCTCTGGGACAACAGCCTCAAGAGTCCGCGCACACTGCTGTCAGCAGGAGACCGTTCCTGGGGACAAGCACCTGCCACTGTCGCACATAGTGCTCGGCCTCTCTGCACCTTGAACCCCAGCCCACACTGGGTTTTCTTTTCCAGGAGCTAAACACTCCCCGGAGCAGACCATTCACCAAATGTAGATCTAGACAGGAGCCGCACCATTAAGGCAAATCCATCTGGTAATTTATCTGTCCTTGGTTAAGACCCCCCCTTCCCTCCTCCCACCCAGAAAAGTATAGGATCTGCAATTATCTTGCTCCCAGGAGTGGGGGTTGGGGAAGGGAGTAGCCGCATGGAGGAGACAGCACCAGGAGATGACTCAATACTGCGGAGGCCGATGACTGAGCACGTGATGATGTAGCAGGTCCCACGACCTTCTTGTAGGTCCATACCGCAGTGGGTCTACATTTTCTAGGGAGTCCTGCAGGAATCAGGCCATAGGAAGAAGTTGCCTGAGTGTGTGTGTGCGCGGGGGAAGAGGGAGAAGGTCAGAAGATTCTGGGGAGGTCAGAGGATTCCTGGAGGAGCCCTGGCATCAGGAAGGTCAGCTCTGGGGGGTCACCACCACCACAGTAACACCCAGGAATGCGGGAGGTGCTCCATGTAAGAACACTTTGTCTCAGAACTGGCACATAGTAAGAGGGAGGAAGGAACTTTTCCACTATTGAGACACCATCACCTCAGATTATCATAAAAAAATGGGAGTGGAAGGACATATAGTGGCCCAGTGCCAAGATATTTTTGTGCTGCTTTTCTAGGTTTGGGTTATCCTTAGGATATGCACACACTCTAACCACCCATGCTTTCAAGAACAACACATTAACACTGAATTTTCTGGTCTTCTCAGGGCAGGACCACTTCCTTATCCCCAAGATTCTACAATGACAGGCTTCATCAGTGCCCTAATCTAGCCACCCCTCTTTATTTATCTGACTCCACAAAAGGAGAGGTTCTGGACTTTTTCTGCACAGAGGGGAAACAACAGCAATAGCTGTTGTGAGCCAAAGTTGGGTGAGCCAAAGTTGGGATGCTAACCAAACACTACCACCAGAAAGCAGTCCAGCATCTCACATCAGAGGAAATGGGAATCCACAGCTCTGGGGGGAATTAGCTAGGTCTGGACCTCCTTATGCAGAGGAAGTAAAGGGCCTAGTCCCTTTCCCCTAAAATGAATTGTAAAGGAAATATAATCACTGATCAATATTTGTGAGTCCAATATACAAAAAATTCTATTTACCAATTCAGGATTGTTCAAATTTTCTGCAGCCTGTCTTTAATTAATCCTAGTTAGGTCAGAAATCTGTTTCTAAGTATAGTTACAATAGAAATAATTCAAAGTTTCCAAAATGGTGTAATTGAGAACCAATGTCAACCAATAGAACCACAATTTTACCAAGGATCTCATAATTTCCTGGTACCAATGTAGGGATCTCTCTCGCCTTCTAAAATCAGTTAGATCACCATAAAATTGACTTTTGACATTTTATTTTTTATTTTATTTTTTTTTTAATATTCATTTAATTACTTTTAGTTTTCGGCAGATACAACACGTTCTTTTGTATGTGGTGCTGAGGATCGAACCCGGGCTGCACGCATGCCAGGCGAGCGTGTTACCGCTTGAGCCACATCCCCAGCCCGACTTTTGACATTTTAAACCCTCTGACCCTTTTGATGCTAGGGCAGTCTTACCTCAACAGCCGATACACACATACTGCCAAATTTGACAATTGTGCAGAGCTATGTTCTAATTTGTATTAGAAAAGTTGAACTTCCTAAAAATAAACAGTTTACCATTTACCAGCAGTGGCAGCCTTGGGCAAATTATTTCTCTCTCTCTCTTTTTTAGATGGATTCTATATTGCCCAGGCTGGTCTCAAACTCCTGTTGTAATCATCATGTTCCTGCCTCAGCCTCCCAAGCAGCTGAAACTACAGGTGTGTGCCATACCTGTATTTTCTTTTTAAACAGTTATATAATGTGGACCCTGACAGCACCTATTGCACAGGGTTGCCATGAGGACATGAGTATGTGCTCAGTCAACATTAGCATGATTTGTCTTGGGGTATAGGCACTAGTCTGGTTTTTTGATTGATGGCCTGTGCCCAAAATAGAGCCTACTGAACAGCTGAGGCTCAGATGCCATACTTTCTCATTGAATTTAGATGGGCAGTGTGAGGTCTCTGCTGGCATGCTACCAGTTCTGAAGATGACTTTATCACAGAGCTTCCTACCACTAAAGTTGCTGGCATTCCTGACAACACAAATATGGATCTGTCAATTAGAACCCAAACCCTGTTTCCTGTCCTTCACCCTTGGGATTAGGACCTAAATCCTTGTTTATGTCCTAAGTTGTCTCTTCATAACCCTCAGGGCTCCAGAGGCCACACTGTCCACTGCCATACCTTCCTACATCTGCTTTGGAGGAACACAGAGGTCTGAATAAAAGGGTTTGGCACATTTGTATTTACCCTACCACATCTTGGGGATGTAGGGAATGATTCAGCCTACACCCAGAGAGACGAGAGTCAAAACTTCCAGCATATTCTACTTCCTTCCACAGAGACCACCTTACAGATACCCTTTTTCCATACAGCCAGAAAGGGGAAAAAATCTGACCAGTAGGGCCTTCACAGCACCCAAGTGGGGAGAGGGCAAACAGGAGTACCCTCATCTGGTATTCACTGGCCAGAATCTGGGACTCGGGAATCTATCTGTATCCTTTGAAGAAAGACTCTACACACATTTTTATAATCAGAAACTTAAGTTTATTTTGAATAAACCACTCAACTTTGAGCAGATGACATTGCTTCAATTAACTTTTTCTTTGAAGAAAAACAAGATATATGATAAATTCATGAAAACACTGTGCCTCTCTTCTACCCTTGGCAGGGGGGCGGAGGAATTCTGCCTGACATCTCCCATCTTCCTAGTAATGTTAATAAAGGATAGCCACTGGAGGCACAAAAGGAAGCTCTCCACAGGTCAAGTGCTAGAGGTTATTCTGGACATAGAATCCCCTGTAGCTCTAGTGGTCAGGGTCACACAACTGGATGTAAGTAAAGAATGTGGCAGCCATGAAGTCCAGAGAATACCCAGCCAGGGTGTGACAAAGATGCAGAGCTACAACTCTGTTCTGTGCCCTGGCAGTGCTACAGGAAGGACTTGACAAAGAGGTAAAGGCTCCAGACACCAAGATATTTCATATGCCAATGCAGAATTCACATCCCACCCATGGTCCTGTAGAAGGTACCTTCTGTTCACAATCAGCTCCCTGTTGTCCCTTTCTGGGCTCATTTGCTACATTCCTAACCTGTTCTCCCAAATCCCCTCCCTTGTTGGGGACTATATGAAGAGATAAAACTTGAGGGAAGAAAGTGAACCTGCAGTCAGCCATGTACCTTAAAAGTCACAGCTGTCCTCTGTCTTCAAGAATGACTCTGTTTACAGCTTACTCAGTACCTAGAAAACTGCTGACTGGAGGTGAAAATGTATGGACACTGAAGAACTCCCACTATAATATTCACAGATTTTCCTATAGGCTCTCCTAGGAGGTGAAGGAGGCCCTGTCAAGTATAGATAGCTCTGCCAGTCTCAGAGTGGAGGCATTGAACAAAGCCTCAGAAACCCCAGAGATCACAGATCTAACTTTTCAAAGGCCCACAGGACCAGGTTCAAGAAAGGCAGGATACAAGGCAAACTGCTTACTCCCTTGCACTCAAGTATGTGAAAGTTGTTCCTATCCTCTGGCCAGCCTTTCCTCCCAGTACAAAAACTGGGACCATAAACCAAGGATTCTCCTGGCCTTATATTCCCAGACCCTAGAGTTGGGGTCTTCTGACAGTTGGAACCAGGCAAAGGGAAACACATTCTGCCACCAGAGTAGCTGCTGGGCACACTCCAAGTAATATGAAAACAACTTGCACAAACTGAGCCCCTGAGCCAGGAAGGCCAATGCCCTTGAGGTGGGCCATGTTGAACTCTGACCCTGATGTTTGTAAGGAGAGTGCAGCAGGTCAATGTCAGGTATGGCTGCATGTGACCCTGGTCAGAGTTACACCACTTGAATACTGGCACAAAAGGAGAGACCAAGGTAAAGCAAATTTATTTTAAGGAACAACTCCCTTTCAAAATGATTCTCTATAGGAGACCAAAGGAAGCATGGGGCTAAACCAGCGTCCCCTAGTCTGGGTGGCCACAAGCCCACCTATGTTCTGCTGTGGGTTCTGGCTTCAAATGCCAGACCCAGGTAAACCTCACTTTCAAGAATAAAGATGAACCCACAGAAGACCACCTATTCTGTACTATCTCCTTACTGTCCAACTAAGGCAGGAGGCATGATGTGACTCCTTGTGCTCCATGCCCGTGACAAAGGCCAACTCAATTCCCTACCATCTGTCTCTAGCTGTGGCCAAACATGTGAAGCTGGAAAGCAGAGACCACTCCAGGGCCCCTTGCAGTATAGATATTTTTGAGGCAGGGTAGGTGGGCAGCACATGTTACATTCCAAGTAAAATAGCTACAGGGTAAAACACTCCAATGCCAATTTATTTTTTAAAAGGGCTCTGTGTTATCCTATGGTTTGCCTTTTTTTTTTTTAATATTGTACAATCTTTGAAAATTACATGAGTTGTAATGATCTAATCCTATTAATAGCCGTTCAAAAAACAAATAAACAAAACAAAACAAAGCAAACAAAACATTCCCTCCCTCCCAACAACCATCTGGGTGAATTAAAAGTCCTGAAAAGAAGCCAATTCAATATGAACTCTACCCTGGTAGAAACAAAAAGCAAAAAGATGAGAAGAAAACAAATTAACTAAAAGGTGTGTTGCCAGTGTCTCTCAGGAGTGGGGCCCTGGCTGTTGCCTGGAGTCGTGAAAGGCAGAGCCTGCAGCATGCAGTATGGCAGCCGGGAGTCCTTGCAGCCACATTTCATCCCGGCATGTCCATGTCCCAACTTAGGTATCATGGAAATCCTTCAACAGGGTTCTTCTCCGCTGTTCTGCTATGTGCATCTGGTTCTCTAAGTCCTGCACAAAGGAAGCAAGGATGGGTGTTTGCATGGTTCAGTGCCAGGAGTAGGGAGTAACCAAAGCCACACCTACCATATCAATGGGCTCCAAGGAGCCAAAGCAATGCCCTTTCCACCCTTCTCAGCAGCAGCTTCCAGTTCTCATACCAACACCCTGTTATCTATGACCCCACCCATCTTCCCTTACCTGCACTGCAAGAAGACAACAGGCACTTACCCCTCTGTCATAGCTGTCCGCTCGCTCCACTTTCCACGAAAGGTTTTCAATCTCAGCCTCTAGCTGAGCCTGCTGGTATTCAAACTGTATGGGTAGAGCAGGAGGGTCAAAAGGAGAGGGGAATGTAGCCGGGCAGAGCCTGAAGATAGAGGGTCACATGCAGTACCTCAGGCTCGCTTCAACCCCTAACAGATTATCTCTAGAGTCTCCAAACAAAAGGCAAACTAAAGAGTATAGCCAAATGGCAAGACCATACTTGTCCTCTAACACCAAGGAAAGGGAAAGAATTTAAAGACATTAAAAAGAAGGCTCCCGGGCTGGGGATGTGGCTCAAGCGGTAGCACGCTCGCCTGGCATGCGTGTGGCCCGGGTTCGATCCTCAGCACCACATACAAACAAAGATGTGTCCGCTGAAAAGTAAAAAATAAATATTAAAAAATTCTCTTCTCTCTCTCTATAAAAAAAAAAAGGCTCCCAACATATAGGGAAACAGATGCTGCAAGAAAGTCAAAATGGATATGCTCAGACACTGTATTCACACTGAACATTTCTCTCTTTTTTTTACTAATTATACATATGAAGAGAGAAAGCACAACAATTTTCCTCAATGTCTTATTTATATAGTAAAAAACAGAAACAATCAAATGATGGTATAACCGCAAAATGGAAAACTGATGAATCTACCAGTCTGGTAAATAGTGACAATTATCAAAATTAATTATGGTAATAAAATGTTACATTTATTACTATGTACATTTATACATATGTATGTGTATATGTACACACACACACACACACACACACACACATATATATTATGTGTGTGGTGGTGCTGGGGATTGAACCCAGAGCCTCAAACATGCGAGGCAAGTGCTCTGCCACCAAACTACACCTCCAACCCCCAGAATATTAATTTAAAAGCATGGAAAATGATAATGATGGTCATTTCTGTTTGGTGGGAATATGGCTGATATAAATGTTTCTCTGTTTTCCAACATTTAAACAAAAAATAGGAATTGCTTTAGCAGGAAACAACCCATATTTAAGATGAAGAATTAAATAAAGGGATTGAAAACAATCAACTTAGAGATTGAGGGGGAAGAGAGCAGATTCAAAGGGGTAAATGGACAGAGGTCTTTTTGGCCAATTGCCCCACCACACACACACTTTTTTTTTTTTAAATAAAAGGGGAGGTACTGTGTGGATTGAACCCAGTGGCACTTTACCACTGAGCTATACCCCCAGCTGTTTTGTATTTTGATACAGAGTCTTGCTAAGCTGCTGAGGCTGGCCTCTAACTTGTGATATTCCTACCTCTGTTTCTCAGTTGCTGGGATTATAAGCAAGTGACCAGGCCCAATGGCCATCAATGTTCAGAGGTTAGGTGCATCTGCCTTTCCATTATACAAAATGACAGTACTGAATGCCCAGAATAGAAATGGAATTTTGCAATTAGACAAGTTTTGTTTTGATTTTGACCTTCCAATACCCAGGGTCAGATCCCTGTTCTCCTGCAAAAGTGCTGGTAGACAAGGGTGCCTCTGAAGCTATAGGACAAGCATGCAGGGATTGCTTTGCCTTACCAGCTTCTTCCTGGGGCCAGACTCCATGTAGTATGCATATGGGTAGGTATATTGCAGGGTATATCGACACTGCATAGGAGGAAAAGAAAATAAACCTGTATCTGTAATTCTAACCGACCTACCTCTCAGGTGGCTCTTACAACTCTTACCTCACCATGCAAATTAACCAGGGTCTGTAGATATGGGACTGAAAGAAATGAAGCTAAACTAAAGAAAGAATGAACTAGGGGAAGACATGGGGAAAACTGAAACAACAAAGCATGGACTCAGAATACCCAAAGTTCTTTTTCAAACTAATCACCAGTAGCTACCTCATAACTTTCCCTCTTAAATCAAATATCAGAGTCCAGTTATCTATGTTACTACTTGTCCAAAGATAATAATCTCTTTTCCCTTGAGTGATGCAGAGATGCAACAAAATAAGAAAAAGGGTTCCAATTTTTCCTGCAGGCAGAGGCAGTGAAAGATTCTTCTTAAAAGGTGAGGTCCTTGATAGTCCTAACACAGGGAAATGTAAATCCATAAACAAGCATGAACGTATATGCAGGATGGCAAATCCCTCTATCACTTTAGAGATGGGGTCTCAGAAGTCTGCCCCTGACAGGGTTAGGCAAAACAGAGGGTGATCATTATACCCATAAGAAAACCCAAGAGTGAGTTGGTAGATACCTTGGCCAAGAGCTTGGCAGCATTCTGTAGATACTGCCAGTCAATCCAAGTTCCCAGATTGTTCATCACCCTCTCCTGAATCTTCTCATGAATCCGCTGGTATGTTTGTGCCTCCAGCTGTAAGCTTTTGTTGTGGTTTTCCCACTACAAAGCAGAGAGGATGGAGAAAAGTACAGGAATCCCAAGAAAGTACAGAGGTCCACATAGATGTTCAGGACAGCCACCTTGGCTATCAGGACATGACCACAGACTCCTCTAACTTATGGAAAAACTTGATGGCCCTTCATTCTCCTACAACTCATCATTCAACCAAGTTAAGTACCAGGTCTTCCCAGTCAGTTGTGGCTGCCCTGTATAGCCAGAAAGCCACATCTAAAGAGACAACACCCAAGGCTGCTGTAAAAGCTCCCTTCACTGACTTCTGTGTGAACAGACTGGCTCTGGTCTTCAGTTACCCCAGTTATCCTATCTCAACAGGTTAACTAAAAGAACCCTACAATGGAACAGCAGGTGCTGGAGAGAATACTTACCCTCTCAAAATAGAATAAGTACTTCTTGAGGGCCTCCCTGGCCTGGGCTTGCTGACTCTGGTTGACAATGTCAGGATTCTCTTTGTACCGACTGCACTCATAGTACTCACTGCCATGAGTCTTCCAATCTCCTAGACACATCCAGCAGAAGTCTGTGCAAAACAGAGGGTGATCATTATACCCATAAGAAAATCCAAACTGGCAAAGCAGTTAGATGAACAGACCCTGCTCCACAGGGGCAGAACCTCTCAATGGTGCCTCTTTCCAGAAGGAATGTCTATCTCTCATCCCAGTCACATCTTACTGTCCCCATATCCTGTGCTGGTCAATAGAAATGACAGCCTATGCATACTTTCCATTCCATAAGCACATGTGCTATGCACCTTACTGATCTCATAGACAGATGCTGAATGTATAGTCACTGGTCTGTTATGTTGATGTCATTATAAGCAGCAAAAACTTGTTCAAATGAGGCCTACCTGATCATCGAGACTCCGATCCTCACAACCCCTGCTTATTCTTGACAGAGTTTTTATATGTGAAGCTGGGAAGAAAGGCTTTTTCTTTTCTTTTTTTTTAAAGAGCTCTTTCTATAAAAGCTATATTCAGGAAACAATTCATACTCAGAATTATAATTCTGCTTCCATAATAAAGAAATCAACACAGTAGAGCGCTCACCTGGCATGTACAAGGCCCTGAGTTCGATCCTTAGCACTACATAAAAATGAATAAATAAATACTGAGGCGGGAGGATTAAAAGTCCAAGGTCAGCCTCACCAATTTAGCAGGATCCACAACAACTCAAATAAAAAATTAAAAAAGGACTAGGGATGTAGCTCAGCATTCCTGAATTCAATTCCTAGTACCAAAAAAAAAAAAAGTATATTGTGTAGGGTCGCTCTATTAGGTGGTATAATTATAGATGATCATTAACTCTGGGTGTTAGGAAATTGGAAGACTATAGCTAAGGGTGGGGCACAGAGGGGTCTTCTGAGGCACTAGGAATATGGTAGGTACTAGAGTATCTGTCATCTTCTATTTTTATTTTTGAGAGGGGGGTCTATGTTACTCAGGCTGCCTTTGAACTCCTGGGATAAGTGATCCTCTAGCCTCAGCCTCTGGAATAGCTGGGACTAAGGACACACACCACCACACCTGGTTGTCACTCTTCTTTAAAATATGTTTGCCTAACATTGTTCTGTGTATGATATACTTCTACCTCATTCAAACATCTTCAGAGTCACTCTTTCCATCTAGGATCCTGTAATATGCATTCTGATTTATAAACAACCTACTATAGTTTCCTAGTCCACATCAATGAAGCCATGTAGAAGGCTACTTGAATATTTTTTCTACTTGGAAGAATTTTATTTCTCGATCGGGCAAGAAGGAAAGCAAAATCAACAGGCTCTAGTTATGTGAAGTGTTCCTGATAGATAAAGGAGATCTGAAAAGCCACATCAAAAGCCTCTCTGAAAATTCCTCTGGTAGGAAAGTATGATTTTACTACATCTGGTAAATCCAGGTGCAACCTGCTCTCGAGTATCTAAAGGTAGCACAGATAAGTTCCTTGCTACTTACCTTCCTTAAAAAATAATAAAGTTAAAATTTTCTTAGATGACCGAGGATCAGATTCATCCCAAGCTTGACTTCTGACTACACGTCAGAAGGCACAGGCACATACAACCACACTTGGCTATCACTCTTCAGTGGGATTACAAAAGGGATCAATAAATAATAAATAAATAAAAAGCTATTATGATGACTACGAGTGACTAAGGTTCCCCTTTATTTTGTCATTTCACTACAAAAGAACTTTACTAAAGAACCAGTGGAGACCCAAGCACAAGAAACATAGACTGTGCCACTGGGCCTTAGGCACCAGGCCTGGGACTCACCGTGTTTACATTTGGAGCATTGCTGTCAGAGGGAAACAGAAGAGAACACATTAGGGGCACGCTGACCAAAGGCTCCATGTCATACATGCAAAGTGTACAGGCTTCTGCTCACCATATGATTGCAGCCTCCATTCTTCTCAATGCAGATGTTGCACTTGGGACACTGAGGAGACAGAACGGTGCCATTAGGCTCACGCACCATCAGGCCAGTTCTAAGACAAATTACACAAAACTCCTGGCTCCTTTGCCTAGTAGCTCATCATGCGAGCACTTCTGGGGAGGAGCATCTCATTTAAATGTGGCAGGTCGCTGAAGCTGGAACAGCAATTCAAGGAAATGAGGTCAGCATGTTTGGCTTTGAAACAATTCAAGCACCAGCTGAACCCCACTAAGTCTTCCACCATGTATCTTGCCATGAAGCTGCTTAGATTAAGCACAGGCTGAATCAGCAGAAGGCCTACCTGCTGGGGAATATTGCCAAAGAAGCCTAGAACTGCCAAACTGGATTAAGTCTTAGTTGGCTTGCCTAGACTTCTGCTTCCAGAAGAGGACATTAAATCCCAAACAGCAATGTAGACTAGTCTGATGCTGTGTCTCCTAGCACCATGAAAGAGACTGTTTATTGTCATAGTCATAACTGTGCTTGTGAGCACACTGACTTGGCAAGTTAATTGGCCCAGGGTACAATGGCCTCTAAAGCCTGCAGGACATTCTTTCCCACGGGAAATGAAAATTGGACAGGGCTGTGCTCATATCACAGCTTTGCTGTTTTGCTCTTTTATCAGGTATAGACGATAAAAGCATTCAATCAAAACTAGTTTTCTTTTAATTAGTTTTCCTTTGGGTCAAACTTTCCCAAATATTTTGGCATTTTATTAAATTATATACACCCAAAGCACCCTATGACAAATTGCTACAAACTCTGCCCACTCTGGGTGAATATCCATAACCCCTAGCAAAAACCCTGGGACTCTATGTGTTCTATTCTCAGGTGGCAAATCTCCAAGCCAGAGGGCCCTGGACAGCACTGAGGGCAGATTCATGACAAGTAAGATATAGTCCTTACATCTTTAGTGTGAGCACTAATGTAGTTGGCCGTTTCAGAGTCATCTGCACACTTCGTGAGCCATTTCCGGATTGTGGCGCAGTCTGTGGGGGCATGATACATCTGACGACACTTGAAACTTAAAATTAGAAAAGAAAAACATTCAAAAATTCATTAAGTCAGGGTCCAACATTTTAAATTTTCCTTTTGCTCAAGCCAGTAGAACTTGAATTAAAGATTTTCAGAGACAAAGTCACCTTTCAAAGCCTTTGGAACCTTTACTTAACCAGGATTATACAAATAAAATGTTTCTGTTTAAACAAGTTGTGTGGTGTCAACTCTTTCTGAAAGGATGTCAAAACAGAGAACCCAGCTTCTTAATATGTATGTGTGTGTGTGTGTGTGTGTGTTGCTGGGGACAAAAGCAGGGCTAGACAAGTTCTCTACCCCTGAGCTACAGTCCCATCCCTGACCTCAGCTTCTTTTCCCCCCACCTGCAGTGGTAGGGATTGAACTTAAGACTCTTGCACATGCTAGGCAAGTGAGGTACCACTGACCTACATGCCCACCTGAGTCCAGCTTCTTGAAGGGTATGGTGAGGTGCTAAGAAGGACCCCTTGATTCAGACCCAAAAGACTAACTTCACCTCCTAGCCACATGTTACATGAGGATGCACAAATTCCAGAACTTACAAAATCTGCAGGGTCAAAATATATCTGATAATACTTAAGACTTAAAATCTGAAAAGAAAAAGACTCTGATACCCATTGGTCTAGGCTCTCATGTTTTCAACTTCCTCTTTGACCAAGCCATCAGTACTCTGTGCAAAAGCCCTTTGGTGGTAAGCCAAACAAATGCCTTAGAAAAATGAAGTTCATAATGTGGGACAAAGGATAAAGAACAACTATTTAGTTATTCTTAACTTTTGGTTCGACATACAGTCCCTTGATGATGTCTTAAAAGACAGAAGACATGTACACACACATCACATTTTCCATGTACTTCCTCTAAAGCCCCATCATGAATATTCCAGGAAGTTGCCAAGTAGGACAGATCTGAACTTAAATTATGACTCTACCATTTACTATCACCCCAATTTAGCCTGTATCCCAACTGCCTTACCTATTACATACAGCCAATCATACAGTTGTGATAATGCAGGAAAAGTAATCAGGACAGTACCTGTCATCAGGTAAGCCATTAGTTATATATTACACTATCTGCTGTATAAAGTAAACCCAAATATACATTCAAATGTAGATGTAGAATACATTTATGAATTCACATTTTACAAAAATTAGCCAAGAAAGATCATGACTGGGAAAAAAAATTTAAAACACTGTCGGGGCTGGAGCTATGGCTCGAGGGTAGAACACTTGCTGGCATGTGTGAGGCCCTGGGTTTGATCCTTAGCACCACATATAAATAAATAAAATAAAAGCTCTATTGGCAACTAAAAAAAAAAATCTTAAAAAACAAACACTGAGTGTTGTACCTTTCAAACACATATCAATGTCAATCATTTGTGCAGGTAGATCCACACAAACACAATCTCTAGGCTATGATTATAGCATAAACCATTACACATTTTCTTTTAAGAAACTATGCTATTCCTTGTCTCCAGACTGAGCATTAATGGAACATGAGGTGCTGGGCACAAACCTGCCTACTGAGAACAGAGTTGCTTTTCTGGTTCAGAGACCCTGTTTCTCTCAGCCCCACCTTCACACAGAGCAACAACAGTGATGCTACAGAGAAGGATGAAGCACACCCCAGGGCTGCTTAGCCACACACTCAATCTTACCAGAAGACCTCATTGCACCGATTGCACTGCACTCGACGAGCTCTAGGCTCCTGTACCCGAATAACCATGGGGCAGTCTGCACCAGGGCACAGCTGGAGCTGGTAATGACTCTGTGAACACAGCAAAGGGAAACAATGAGAATATTACCAATGTGCTGCCTCCAAAACAGACCTGTGTTGAGTGCTAAAATGCTTTCTTTCTGTTCTTCCACTTGTTGACAAAGATTAAGAGGCTATATACAAATTCAGAACAGATGCTGTACAGATCAGACATTGGCCAGATAGTGAAGAAGAACTATAAAAGTTTAACTTAAACCTGGTAACAACTCACTAGAATGACCTAAGGTTATATTACAAAATCGAATATCGAAATGTATCTGTGGGCCAGGTGCAGTGGAAGGTGCTTGTAGTTTTAGCTACTCAGGAGGCTGAAGCAGGAGGATTACTTGAGCCCAGCAATTTGAGGCTAGCCTGGGTAACATGAGAAATCATCTCAAGGGGGGCAGGGAACTATCACTGAGATGAAAGTACATATGGACTTGGGCTGGAAAGGAACACATTCCACTCAGCTGTGAATATGATAGCTCTGAGGGCTCAATGATCCTCAGGAATCTACTAAAGGCAGCAAATATCACAAAGAAGAAGGCCTTCTGCTTAACCTGCACCATGTGCATGAGATCATAAATCAATCCAATAAGTTTAGACATAAAAGACAAAGATGAAAATTGTGCTGCATGGAATTATCATCACCAGACAAGAGCTCAAGAGAGAAAAAAATTTCAAAACTGATAATGATGGAATTCTGGATGAGGTTTCAAAATGCTAAAAAAGAAATATCCTACTAGGCACAGTGGAGCACGCCTGTAATCCCAGCTGCTGGGGAGGCTGAGGCAGGAGGATCGTGAGTTCAAAGCCAGCCTCAGCAATTTAGGAAGACTCTGTCTCAAAATAAAAAATAAAAAGAGCTTGGGGATGTGGCTCAGGTTAAGCGCCCCTGGGTTCAATTCCCAATATTAACCACCCCCCCGCCCAAACAAAAGAAAAAAGAACTATCCCTTCTCTATGCAGAATCACAGTGAACTGAATGGAATCCTGAGGTTCACCTGACTTGTGTTCATTCCAATATACAATAGCTTGTTTAAGCAACTATGTATAAAGTAGAGATTTCTGTCCAGTCTATGGAACAGGAAACCAAGACTCAAGAGAGGCAAACGAATTAGTCAAAGATCACAAACAAGGAAGCAATATATCTGGGATTTGCACAGTGGTCTACCTGACTACCGGGCCTATGTTCTTCACTACCACTCTAGTGGTTTTTGAACTTTTTTAAAGCCATGGAACTATCTCTCCAAACAACAATACCTAAAGAAGCCTCACCTATAAAATAACTATGGTAACCATCAAATACAGATAAGCCCAATAAAAGAGAGGGCAGAAAAACAGGGGTCAGTCATACCTCCACGTAATCCCTGAAGAGGTAGCGCCTATATTTGTCTTTCAATTCTTCATTGGGAAGCAATGGAAACACAAAGTCTTCTGGTGTACGGAGTGGACAGTCCTGAGCCATACAAGAGACTCCTGTTGAACAAAGACAACCTGATGGACAACCATATTGTAGGAGACATAATACTTGCCCACTGGGTTCAAACAACACATTCAGATTCCATAAGAAATGCTTGGGGACTGGGGTTATAGCTCAGTGGTAAATCACTTGCTTTGCATGCGTGAGGCCCTGGGCTCAAATCTTAGCACCACATAAAAATAAATAAATAAAGATATTGTGTCCATCTACAACTAAAAAAAAAATTTTAAAAAAGAAAAGAAGGGGCTGGGATTGTGGCTCAGCGGTAGAGTGCTTGCCTAGCACTGGCGGGACCCGGGTTCGATCCTCAGCACCACATAAAAATAAAGGCATTGTGTTGAGTCCATCTACACCTAAGAAATAAATATTAAAAAAAAAAAAGAAAGAAAAAAAAAAGAAATGCTTGAAGCAACAGAATTTATTCTAAGAGGAGAACCTACACATTTCCATAGCAATGCAACAAAAATACTGATCCAGATTTATATATACATATATATCAATAACACCACAAAATAACAATTTCTATGGATCCTTTTTTATAGATTTCTTGACTAATGAGATAGTTCTCTATGATAGTTCTGATATTTAATATTATGTGCTTATGATTATTATTAATACAATGAGATTTTATAGATACCATTTAATGTGATAATTAGTATCAATGTCATCAAGTCATAGTAAAACAAATACTCCTGAAGCTAATCACTAAATTTGATTTACGCTATGTTGTCTAAATAGCAGCAAACTCTCATAGGTGTTTCTGAGTTATGGCTGCCACCAAGATAAGGGTAAGCAGCTTACAGGGCTGTTCACCTAAAAGGTGAGAGATACCTTGTGCATACACACTAGTATTTACAATAGCTTTAATTTCCTTGTTTTGCTGAGGATTGGGGCAACCTCTGCCACTATGTGAGCTGATGTGTTTAAAAATCACTAGTTCTGATGATTAAAAAGCTCAGTCTTAGAAGAAAATAGTCAAGTTAAATAGAGTATGGAGTATGAAAAGGCAGATTTGAAGATAAGTACTTCATATACCAGCCTTTTACAAGTTCCATGACAGACTCACCCACACCCACGCCATCCTTGACTAGAACCGAGCAGTGCTGCTCCCAGCAGCTGCGGCAAAACTGGTGCTGGCAGGCCAGAGACAGTAGGTTTTCCTTCCGCACAAATTGCATACACACTGCACAGTGATGAGGGGGATGGGTGGTAGGGACCTGGAGAGAAGTAAATCCATGTGAGCAAAAGAAGCCTTCAGGTCTAGGAAGGCCACAGGACAGCCTCAAGTAGTTGGGTACATGGAAGGTGATCCTGACTTTGCAATAAGTGTCAAAGCCCAACTGAAATGTGTGGACTCGAGTCCCAAAGGGGTTAAGTAGCAAAGGGACTAAGTAGCAAATGGGATAAAATATACCAGAAGGGCTTTCTGAAGGAAACAGTACCTGAGCTGAGCTTGCAAAATCACTAGGAGTCAGAGGAAGAGAGAATGAAATTAAAATTTACAGTTATTTATAATGTAAACCAGGTTCAGTGAATTAAATTGGATTATATAGGATTGTCAGACATGGTAGTGCATACCTATAATCCCAGCAAACTGGGAGGTTGAGGCAGGGGGATCTACTCCCATTCAGCACAGCACAGCACAGAGTTGGTCCTCAATAAGTACAAACCCAGTCATAAGGGTTCTTAGAAGCTGAGTCTGTGAAGCGTCTCACAGCATATACTGCAGTATTACATGTCAAGGACAATGGTTTTTCCATATCAATATGCTCAAATCACTGGGTGCATACCCATAATCCCACCAATTTGGGAGCTGAAGCAGGAGGATTGCAAGTTGAAGGCCAGTCTCAGCAACTTAATGAGGCTCTAAACCTCTATAAACAACTTAAGCAAGAGACCCTGCCTCAAAAAAAAAAAAAAAAAAAAAAAAAGAGGAGCAGGGATGGGGGGGGTGGTTTGCAATGTAGACCAGTGGTCAAGTGCCCTTTGGTTCAATCCCCAGTTCAAAAACAAAACAAAACATTGACCAAACTACAAAATATTATAGATTTTACCAAGTTACAACTCATCCTTAATATATCAAAAAGATGTCACAGATAATTAACTTGGAGGGATAAAGAAGGAACTATTCTAGAATGTGGTAAATGACCACAGAGCTTTAAGTCACTTTAACACTATGATACATAAATCGGCAAAGACAATTTGGATACCCTGGCTAAAATTACAAGCCAATGGAAAATTCCACTTACAAGTTTCATTAGATTCTTTTTGGTTCATTAGGAAAACAAGAAGTTGAGGAAAAGGCCTATATTCTGTATGTCCAGTATGCTTCTAGAAACCTTTCTCCTAAGAGGGTGCAGAAACTATTTGGGGATCTATGCTCCAATTCTTTTTCCTCGGAGCTCTTTTAATACAGCCCTCACTTAAAAATTATTGGACAAATGTTTGCTAAATATACCCAGGATTTTGCTATTCATTGTTAAGACAGTTCCTATGGTAGGGAGGTAAGATATGAATTAATCACTACATCACACAATGTATATATAATCAGACAAGTTTGGAGGGAAATGATCTCAGGGAAAAGGCTTTGTGAAATGGTGGCTTGGATTTGAAATCTTTTTTTTTTTAGTTCCAGGCATTGAATCCAGAGATGTTCAACCACTGAGCCAGCCCTTTTACTTTTTCTTTTGAGATAGGATGTTACTAAATTACTTAGAGCCTTGCTAAGTTGCTGAGTTTAGCTTTGAACTTTGATTCTCCTGCCTCAGCCTCCTGAACTGCTGGTATTACAGGCCAATGCCACCATGCCTGGCTAGGTTTGAATCTTTTTTTTTCTGTGTGTGTGTGTGTGTGTGTGTGTTTGTGTGTGTTGCTGGGGATTAAACCCAGGGCTTTATTCATGCAAGGCAAGGTACTCTACCAACTGAGCTATATCCCCAGCCCCTGGATTTGAAGGTAAATTTACCCCTTTATCTTTAAAGGTAAATTTCAGTCACGTGTGGTGGCAAATGCCTATAATCCTAGGTACTTAGAGGCTGAGGCAGGAGAATTGCAAGTTTGAGGCCAGCCTTGCCAACTTAGTGAGATCATGTCTCAAAAAAAGAGATAAGGTGACATAGGACCAATACTGAGGGGAAAAGAAGGCAAATTTCATTCCTACAAGTCAATATGGGGACAGAGTCCAAACATTCTGGGTCAGAAAAGGCATAAACAGAATCAAAGAGGTATGCAGTGATCTTGACAACACCAAAGCACCTAGAAGGAAGGGAGTACAAGCTATGTGTAAGTGCAGACAGAAAGGAAGGTAAGGCAAGGCTGGAAAGAACCCAGGGACAGGCAATGAGTTACTCTCTATAAAGGAAACATTTTTTGGCTGGTGGTACTAAAGATAGTAACCAGGGCTTCACATCTACTATACAAATGTCCCACTCTGGAACTACATCTCTGGCCTGAAACTATAAAGATATAAAAGATTTAGGTCTGGCATGCTCACTGGTTGGACATGCTTGCTACAAACAAAGCGAAAATGTTTCTCCGTGATACTAAGCCTTAGCAAGAACAATGTGAATCCAGAGAAGCCTCACTCAAATCGAAGATACTTACATGTTTTGATGGATTGGGCTGAACTCGTGCCTCAACAAGCAGTTGAGAAGAATTGGACTTGTATCTACAAAACAGAAAGCAGAAATAAAGGAAATCAGAAGCTAAAGACATTTTTACTAGTAACAATGAAGAGAAAAGACCACCATATGTTGTGGTTACATTACCTTTTCACAGAACTAAACTTCATTTTTATCTGAGTAGAAAGATTTTGTTCTCTTTCAACATTTCAGCTCTCTATCAGTATAAGGAAAAATAACTGCTTCAAACTTAATGAACTACAAAAATATTTATGATAGACCAGATCTGTTTTAGATCTAGTTATGGAAATATAGGCAAATATCTCAAATACCGTCTTGATAGAAGAATTCCTTAAGACTCAAAAGGCAAAATATAAGAGTCTAACAAATTATGCTGCATTTAAGTTTATCAAAAGATACCATATAGTGAAAACCTGCCATATATTGGAAGATAATCATTGTGTGTATCTCTTATCTATAAACTGGCAAAGAATTAGTATCAGAAGAAATTAAAACTAAAAGTCCATTTCAAAAGACAAAATAACAAAACAAACAAACAAAAAACCACAAGAAAAAGAACAGGCATTTCACACAGGGGACAGAAAAAAAAAATTAAATTAAAAACAAAAGCCAGGGATGGTGGCACAGGTCTATAATCCCAGCTATCCAAAAGCTGAGGCATGAGAATTCCAAGTTCAGGGCCAGTCTCTGAAGCTTAGTAAAACCCTGATCCAAAAGAAAAAACTAAAAGTAAAAGGGTTGGGCTCAGTAGTAAAGTGTGCCCCTAGGTTCAATCCCAAGTACCAAAATTATCCAAACATCAAACAAACCAACAACAACAACAGCAAAAAAAAAAGAGAAACATTGAAATATCATTTATTACAAAATTAAGTAAGACAGTATCAGGATCATTCAAATACCACTGATGGAAACAAAGTTGAATAAACACTTTGGAGAGCAATTTGGGCCAGGTATGGGGACGCATGCCTATAATTCCAGCCACTTTGGTGGTTAAGGCAGGAGGATGGCAAGTTAAAAGTCAGTATATCAGTATGGACAATTTAGCAAGACCTTGTAGCAAAATAAAATAAGAAGAGCTGATAGCCGGGTGTGGTGGCACATTCCTATAATCCTAGAGGCTCAGGAGGCTGAGACAGAAGGATAGCAAGTTCCAAGTCAGCCTCAGAACTCAGTGAGGCCCTAAGCAAATTAGTGAGAGCCTGTCTCAAAATAAAAAAATAAAAAGGGCTGATGGAGCTAGGATTGTAGCTCAGTGGAGAGCACTTGCCTGGCATGTGTGAGGTACTGAGTTCAATACTCAGCACCACATACATAAATACATAAATACATACATACATACATAAATAAATACACAAATAAATAAATAAAATAAAGTTGTGAGGGGGAAAATTTTTTCAATAAATAAATAGGGCTAAGGATGTGGCTCAGTGGTTAAGTATCCCTAGGTTCAAACCAGTACTTTTAAAAAGGGGGACAGCCTGGGAATGTAAATCAGTGATCCAATCCTCAGTACTGCCCCCCCAAAAAAAACAAGGTAAGTTAATTGCATCAGGCAAGGACCGTATCTCCTTTATGTGATTGCCTTTCCCTATCTAGTCAGAATGCTTCCTTCAGCTACCTTTGTTAAAAGATCTGTTTTATACCTGGTTCTCAAACTAGTGTTCTAAACACTTTTAGCTATTCAAATATATACTCTCAAGTTATGCTGGAGAGTTTGGACAGTTGAGAGAAACCCCATTACCAGAACCCATGTCCAATAATAGTAATAAAAGTTCATCTGCAATTGTATCCAAACATACTGAGCTCTGAAGTACAGAGCATGCCAAAGTTAGGGAATCAGAAATCATTTGACTTTTCCTGATTGTGCTGAGCTGCTCCAGTTGATATGGCTACCCCAGCCATACATAGCTTGAAGAATGGAAGGCATAATCTTCTTTCATGGATCAATGGAAACACACTACATGGAGAAAGGAAGACTTGCTGCACTGCAAGTGGGTGGAGATAGTAATTCTGCTTCTCACCTAGGGAAATTTTGTTCTCCAGGGATTATTTGACACATTTTTACTGTCAAAGACTTAGGGATGACTTTCCTTACCTGACTTCGAGTAGGCCAAATCCAGAGGCACTATCAATCATTCTATAACCCAGAGAGCAGTGCCCCACAAAACAAAGAACTATCCACTTGGATGCAGTGGCACATATTTGTAATCCCAGCTACCAGTGGGGCTGAGGCAGGAGGATTGCAAGTTCAAAGCCGGCCTAGGGAATTTAGTTGAGACATAAAAAAATATCCAAACATGAAAAACTTAAAAGGGCTAGGGATATTGTCTGGTGGAAAAGTGCTTGCCTAGCATTGGCAAGGCCTAGGGCTCAAACCCCAGTACTGTTTTTTTGTTTTTAGGAGGAGGAAGAGGAGAAGGAGGAGAAGGCGAATGAAGGATCTAAAGAAAGAAGGAACGAGCTAGCAATTCTACTTTTGCAAATTCCTTCTTAGGGGAAGGAGAAGCAGGTGGGGGAGATGAGGAAGAGGGGGGAGAGGGGAAGGAAGGGAGAGAGGGAGGGAGGGATGATATAGCCCAAAATGTGCTAAGGATGAGAAACACTGAGCTAGACAGAGGCATATGCCTCTGAAGGTAGGACACAAGAGATCTATCCAGAGAACGTAAGAGGAAGAAGACACCTTTTCATGACAACATCTAAAATATCTCTAAGGTCTGAGGTTCAAGAACTCTGGTTCTGGAGGAGGTGAGAAGGAACACTCAAATATCCTAAGGCAGAGGTATATGGTAAAGTGGCCACTTTTTCTTTTTCAAAATTTTTTTAGTTGTTGATAGACCTTTATGGATAGACCCCCATATAAACAGAGGTGCTGAGAACCGAATCCAGTGACTCAAACATGCCAGGCAAGTGCGCTACCCCTGAGCCCCAGCCCCAGCTCCTTTTTTCTTTTTTTAGTATTAGGAATTAAATCCAGGAGTGCTTGACTGCTGAGCCATATCCCCAACCCTTTTTATTTCTTATTTTGAGACAGTGTCTCACTAAGTTGCTTAGGGCCTTGCTAAATTGCTGAGGTGGCTTTGAACTAATCCTCCTGCTTCAGTCTCCCAAGCCACTGGGATTACAGGTGTGTACCACCATAGCTGGCTTTTTGTTTTGTTAACAGTACTAGGGATTGAACCTAAGGCTTCAAACATGTCAGGAACATGCTCTACCACTGGACTACATCTCTAGCATTTTTTATTTTGAGACAGTGTATGGCTAAATTGATGAGGGTGACCTTGAACCTGTCAACCTTTCCTGGCTCAGCTTCTTTTTTTTTTTTTTAGAGAGAGAAGTTTTTAATATTTATTTTTTAGTTTTCGGTGGACACAACATCTTTGTTTGTACGTGGTGCTGAGGATCGAACCCGGGCCGCACGCAGGCCAGGCGAGCGTGCTACCACTTGAGCCACATCCCTAGCACCTGCATGGGCTTTTTTCTTCTTATTATTTTTTGGTATTGGGACTGGAATCCAAGGACACTTTACTACTGAGCTACATTCCCAGTTATTTTTTTTAACCTTTATTTTATTTATTTATTTTTATGTGATGCTGAGGATCGAACCCAGGGCCTCACACATGCTAGGCAAGCACGTCTATTGCTAAGCCACAACCCCAGCCCAATTATTTTTTTTTATTTTAAAGATTTTACTAAGTTCCTTTAGGGCCTTGCTAAGGTGCTGAGCCTGGTCTCAAACTTGTAATCCTCTGCCTCAGCCTCACCAGTAGCTGGGATCACCGGCATGTGTCTCCGATTTTTTCTAAAGGCAATATGCCATGTTTGAAGCCTTAGGTTCAATCCCTAGTACTGTTAACATCCTTACTTGATATATCCAAAAGAAGTAGCTGGAGATGTTGGCAATGTTATCTAGAAGGAAACTGATTAAAATCAACAATAGCACAGAATATTTCAACTAACTTCACTAACAATAGAAATTTAGATAAAGTATGGAACGCCTATAATGAAATACTGTGCTAGCATTAAAACTGAGGTAGAATATGCTGTACACATGGGAAAATGCTCATAATACACTGAAAGAAAGGGATGTATGATATGATCCAGTGTTTTAAAAATTTAATATGCACATTAGAAGAATATACTCCAAAATAAAAACAATAATCACTAGTGGGTAAGGAGGCAGAGCAGGGAGCTATGGACAATGTCATCTCCTCTCCCCTAAAGACCTTACCTGTCCAATATCTCTGAGACTTGCCAGTGGAAATTAACTAATATGAGTTTGGCAACTGAATGAGATACCTGAAAAGAAGAAAGAAAAATCAAATTAACTGAAGTTGCTTTTAGAGTGCTATATACTTTGAGAAATGCATATATTCACATCTATCCGAGGCTCAGGCTTGAATTCCGTTTTTTTTCCTGATACTGTTTTTCTCTTTTAAGTTCAGATTCATAAAATCCTAATGATTTTATGAATCTCCTGATTTTCAATCTTTGTTTTGGTGAATGACCCTTCTAAAAAAATTGCAAACTCTAATTTGAAACTTAACAAAACCACTTATTCTACAGTAAGTAACAACTTAGCATCTAATACGAATGAAAGAGCTATGGGTTCTCTAATGTAATGTATATTCCTGCAGGGTGTCATAGGAGGCCATACACCTCTATTTAGGCCTTATATTGCAGAAAATCTCCCAGCCTCATCCTTGCATGAATTCCACAAAGAAAATAACCAAACTCCTGTCTAGAATCCCTGGATTCCTAGCATCTGATGAGCACTAACTGCAAAGACTTTTTAAACGTTTGTGGGCAGTCTTTCTGGCCCAGACATTCTATTAGGGAACATTTAAAGCATATGGTTCTAGCTATTAAAGAGCCTCAGAAGGTATTTTAAACTAGCAATTCCTTTTGCAAATTCCTTCTTAGAAAGGACAGTGGATAAGTGAGCCACTGGGTTATTTACAATAGTAGAAAGTTAGAATAACTTAAATTGTCCAACAAAAAACGAGCTAGGTAAATAATATAATGACAGATTCATGCAATAGGCTACTATGTAGTTTTTGAAAAGAACGTTGTAGATGTTTATTGAGAGAAAGAATTTCACATTTCCATATTAGGTTAAAAAACCAAGTAGTGAGATAGCATATTATAGTCATAATATCAGCCATAATATCTTGGTAATTGTCAAGTAAAAGCTAACAATTCACCTTAAGTGTCAAAACTAGGGTGTGTCCACAAAAGATTGGGATGTGGTTGGAGGCCTAGATCAAACTTTCCAGATAGCACTGTAACAGAATATGAGGGTACCACTAAATTAAGAAATAAGGAACAAACTTCAGGCTGGAAAAATATGTAAAACATACTCTGCTCACTGGACTGAGTCCTTACATGCATCCACTAATGACTTGTAAGATAAGGCCTGCCTGGTCCACAAAAAAAGAACTTCAGGAGGAAGACAAAGTAACCAATATGTGATCCACATCCCTGGAGCTCAAGTCACCCTTGAAAGGAGACTAAACTTAACATTTTTAAAAGGGCACACTCATTGTCAAAGGCTAAATAATCAACGAATGTCTTCCTTTCCTACAGTCTGTCTATTTAGAGGACTCAAAGACAGTTTACTTCAAATGGAGCAGGGGTCCCCACTTGCCTTCCACAAATTGTAAGAAGCATCTGGAGCCACACATGTTGCCCAAATATTCTCTTACTGAGGCCCATGGAAGGCCTGTTTCCTCACTTAGAGCTGATGTTTTCTAATTGTGGCCCTAACAAAACTATTCATTACAACAGACCACTATCATGAAATGAAAATAGAAATCAGACATTTGGTTTAAACTTTAACAACTGAATGTAGCTTTTGTTTAAAAATACTTTTTTAAAAACTTGAGTTATGGACATGGTGGCACACACCTGTCATCTCAGTGGCTTGGGAGGCTGAGGCAGAAGGATCAAGTTCAAAGCCAGCCTCAGCAATTTAGTGAGGCCCTAAGCAACTCATCGAGACCCTGTTTCTAAATAAAATATAAAAAAGGGTCTGGGGATGTGGTTCAATGGTAAAGCACCCCTGGGTTCAATCCCCAGTAACAAAAACATAAACAAAACTATGACAGTTATACTACTACTATATTGTTTTGGATAAACTCGTTCTTTTACCTAGTGAGGCTTAATCAGCATCACACCCACTGCTTCCTATATGTCTCACTATGCTCCTCTCAGATCCACTGAGCACAGAACTAGACTGGATACAGAATGGCCACTCAGTTATTCTGATTATTAAATGATAACATGCATTTAAAAATAAATTCTGCTATTTCTTCAGGAAAGTCAAGAAAGTTTAACACTGAAATAAATCTGACACCTTTATCTCAACAGCACTAATAGCAACAACAAAGCTTCAGAATAAAACATGAGGTAGAGTCCACCTACAGATAACATAGCCCTGTTAAAGAAGAGCCAGGGCAGGGAGACACTAGCCCTTTATAAAAGTGGAGTGACATGAATATTTCTTAAAAACAGCCAGGAATACATCAATATACACAAGATAGCAGACACACTCAAATGTCAGCCACACAAATCTCCTACCAGCCTCCATAGGAGGAACTATTTTGATAACCAAGTCACAGCAGTGACAGACTGCCCATATAGTGTCCATAGATCCACTAGAGGACTGGATAAGGTGGCACACACCTGTAACTCAGCTACTCAGGAGGCTGACGTAGCAGGATCATAGGTCCATGGCCAGCCTCCACAGCTTAGGGAGACAATGTCTCAAAATTAAAAGGGTGTGACAGCCAGGTAGGGTGGCGCATGCCTGTAATCTAAGCAGCTCAGGATAGAGTTCAAGAGTTGATAGAGGATCAAGAGTTCAAAGCCAGCCTCAGCAACAGCAAGGCGCTAAGCAACTCAGTGAGACCCTGTCTCTAAATAAAATACAAAATAAGGCTGGGGATGTGGCTCAGTGGTTAAGTGCCCCTGAGTTCAATCCCCGGTACCAAAAATAAAAGTGTGACTACACCTCAGTAATGGACACCAGGTTCCAAAAAGCCCTGTAAGTAAAAGTAGCACAGGGATGGAAGAAGACAAAGAGACAATGGTACTCTAGAAGAATTTATTCTGAAATATTATCTCAGAAGGGAAGCTATCCTTTTCCTGATTTAGGTCACAATGAAGAACTAGCTGTACCAACTTACCTAGCCCAGTAGTTTTCCCAAGGAAGAAGTGGCTTCCTGGCAGAAGAGATAGGACAAGACTTTTGGGGTGATATTAAGCCAGATTAAAGGTAAAAAACTCAGTCTCTGTGCAAATAGCCGATTTTTCTCAGAACTAGTATTCAAATCATGCTACTTAATATTCCAAGAGCTCAGCAATCTGCTGGGCTCAGTGGTACATGTCTAGAATCCCAGGTATTAAGGAGGCTGAGGTAGGAGGATCAAAAGTTGGAGGCCAAAATGAGAAACTTAGTGAGACCCTGTTTAACAATATAAGAAAAAAAGGGGGTGGGTGGGTGGGATATAGCTCAGTTGTAGAATGTTTGCTGAGCATGTGCAAGATCCTGTTTTCAGTTCCTAGTACCCGCCCCCCAAAACACACACACACACGGGGGGGGGGGGGAGTGAGCTCAGCAATCTACTCAGAACTTATTAACAGCCAACACTTCTAGTTACAGAAAGGTCCTCCACCCATTCTGCCCATTCAGTATATGTTCTATGGAGAGAAATCTTCCAACAGATTAGGAGGAACTCTTGCTGTGCTATTGGGCTAACAATCTATTTGCAGTAAGGATTAAGTATTATGAAGATGACTTATAAGGAAAAGGACAAACCTTCAGCAAAAGGAAAATGGGTCCAGGGTAGTAATATATCATTACATGCTCCAAAACTTATTACTTAAGAAGGTATATATATAATCAATATTCTGTTAGATCAATGTAAAAAGGCTTATAAGTCACATTGACTTACGAATATTTTTTCTACTTTAGAAATATTAACCGAGGAAAACATTATAAATGAAAAACTAGGGGCTGGGAATGTGAGTCAGCGGTAGAGTGCTCACCTAGCACCAGAGGGACTCCGGTTTGATTCTCAGTACATTTTTAAAAAATAAAAATAAAGGCATTGTGTTGTATCCATTTACACCTAAAAATTAATAAATAAATATTTTAAAAATAAATAAATAAATGAAGAACTAGAAAGTACGTTGTCCAAAAATTCACATTCCCAAGATAATTACTTGCAGAGTAATCTGCATCTGCAATCACAGAGATAGAACCTACGTTTATTGATCTCTTCATCTCAGGGGCCAAAGAGTCCCTCTCAATGGGAATGGGTCGCTATTTCTTAAATCCTTATTCCACTATTCCCCAGGAGAAAACTATCTCTGATAAGTTACTTGGGACACTTACAAGATCATGAGTCAAGAAATGTGTGTTGGGGTTGTGAGTGCTGGGGATCAAACCTAGGGCCTTGTGCATGGTAGACAAATACTCTAAGCTATATCCCCAGCCCAATTACACTAAATTTAAACAAACTCTCAACAGCAGAGAGATGTTTCCCCCATCCCAAATGTTAAACTACATATTAAAGCCATTAAAAAAAAAAAGAAAAAATTTAGTTGTAGATTAATAGAATGCCTTTATTTTATTTATTTATTTTTATGTGGTATGAGGATCGAACCCAGTACCTCACACATGCTAGGCAAGTGCTCTGCCACATTCCACTGTGGCTCTGCTGAGCCACAACCAAGCCCCTATATTAAAGCCATTTTTTAAGAATTCATAATTTGGGCTGGGGATGTGGCTCAAGTGGTAGCGTGCTCGCCTGGCATGCGTGCTGCCCGGGTTCGATCCTCAGCACCACATACAACTAAGATGTTGTGTCTGCAGAAAACTAAAATAAATAAATAAATAAATATATATATATATATATATATATATATATATATATATATATATATATACACACACACACACATACATATATATATATATACTTAAAAAATTCTAAAAAACAAGAATTCATAATTTATATATAATAGTTCAAAAAGTTTAGTGGCTTTGATTACTAAATTCAGTTTAAAAAATCCTCTTGGATTATTTCTGATTTTAATTCCATGTTTCACAATGTGACGATTTTTTATTTCAACCACTAAATTTCAATCTATTTAGAATTGCCAACAGTAGTTATTCTAAGATATTCATTATACATATACACTAGACAATAAATACAAACTCCCTTGTTGCCAAATTCAACAAACATCTCTTATGTTTCTTAAAATTATTTATTGTATCTATTTAATTTTTAGTT